AGAGGTTTCCAGAGATTAAGTTTCTGAGTTGAATATATCCACACAACAGGATTGAAAAATATCAGGGCCCACCCTTTCTCCTTATTTTAAAAATAGAAAGAAAATTCAGGGATAACTTCCCCCTTATGCAAGCACCCCTTTGGCCTTTGCATATCTGGCTTAGCATGAGGCCAGCAGTAGAGGTGAAAATACATCTCTCCTAATGATTCTGAGCATTTAGTGATTTTGTTCAATATTAGCTTTCCTTATTCTTTATTCTGTATTCCTGAAATTATTTCAGGAAATGTCACCAAATTCTTGACTATTTCCTTTTATTTTCATACATTTATTAAAATTAATTTCTTTTGCCAAAGTAATTCAATTACATTCCTTTTTATGCTTACTAGGAGAACTTTGTGTACCTATAAGATCATTTTTCTACCATTATTTATTATCCATACCCAGTGGAGATGGAGTTTAGCTATGTAATTATCACTCCTCAGTTCCTAACAATCCTGTGGCAGTTGTTACAATAAAAGTTACTTCCTAGTGGTACCAGACGTACCAAATCTAAAACATTTATTTTGAAGGCATATTAAAGTTCCAGTGTGAAAAATGATGTATTACTGTGCAATGTATTTTCTCAAATGTCAATACACTTACATAGAAAACAGACACCACTTTAAGCTTTACCTGTTTTAAGGTCAAAACCCCAATGCCAAACCTTCCTCACTGTCAATTTCTCTTCATAACCATGATTAAATCACTTAGCCAAGTCATTATATCTTAGTCTCTCTACTTACAAATTACAGAAAATAACAGTATCTCTTCCTTGTTATATGTCCTATACCTGTGAATTTCAGGGTATATTCTGTCTTAACATAAATAAAAGCCTACTTTTCCCTTTCATTAACTCAAGATTAAAAAGAGATTTTTAAAATCTGAATACACCTGCATTTTGAATTCCTTACAGTAAGTTGACATATGAAAACTGTTATTGAAATTCTAGACAAGACTCTTTAATCATTACAGATTCATATGATGAGTTTTATGAATGACATGAAGAAAAGGAGATATTCTTCCCTTCCTTTGAAGCCCTTTCCTTAGATTTCCTCATGTGATTAATGTGGTAGCTATCTCAGGGTTTTTACTCTAGCTGGGTGGGTAGGGAAGCAATGGAGAGAGAGTGAGGAAAGCTAAAAACCTCAATCAGGCAATTACCACTTTTCATGGGAATATTCCCTACAAGGGCCAAGAGACGTAACAAATACTCAGCACCACCATTGGGGATGAGAAGCAAGAGTTTGCTCTTAAATTGGCTACAGAGTAGAGATGCCAAAGCAAATAAATCATTGTTCAGTGAAATAGTTTGAAAGGTAACTGGGCTTTAAAAATATTTCTGTAAGTTAATATTTCTAATCGGCTGCATTCATTCCTGTCAGATATTATAAGGGCACATGCCCATCAGGATCTCTGGAGATCTCCTCCTGATATATGATTCATTATTTTTAGACTAGTGCCTAGCTCAGCAGACACACCCAACAGATGTTTACCGAATGAAGAAAAAGAAGCTGAAGTTCAAACTTATTATACTTCATCTAAACCAAAATTGCATTCATTTGAGTAAGAAGTAAAGGCCCTAAAGTTCTTAGATTTCTTCAATCCATACACATTCTTCATCAGTAAGAATTCTGGCATAAAAAGCAAACCTGAATGCCTCTTTGACCCAGTTACTCAAGCCATTAATAGAGTAAAAACACAGGAAATCCATCCATTTCCTAGGATCCCCCGCCCCTAGCCAAGTTCATCCTCAAAGACCCTGTTTCACTTTGTATTATCATCGTGGTGTGACTTACACCCCTTAAACCATTTATACAGAATTATGAGAGAAGAATGGCACTTCTACTGGCTACATACTCTCCATAATGGGTCCATTCTGTTTTTTCCTTTACTGGAATCTTTTTTAACTCCATCTCTCTGATGCAGGGTGAGGGGAGTTATATTTAAGGACAGGCAAGAAATAACCTGTTTGTTTTGCTGAAATTTCACTGGACATAAATCTCTGATCACAAATCATCCAGGACTTCTTCAGTCTATAACCAGAAGTTCACCGATGCTCATCAGGACACCCAGACGTGGGTCAAGGAGAAGCCACCTAAGTGGGTTTATTCATATATCCAGCTTCTATCAGGGGAATGATGATCTCCAGATACCGGGTAATGGGAGAGTAACCGTTGTTAAAATGAAGTAAGTACCGTATGGTAAGGGGCAACCAGCCTACAGAGAAATCAAAGAATGAAGCATGCAAAACTGCCCAAGGGGTGGGTGTACCAGTCATGGGGGAGGGGGCTGCCTGAATTCAGCTTAACTTCAAGAAGCAGGCTGGACCCTGCCTTCACCCCAGGGACTGACCTTTACTGCTTTGGTCTAGCAGGTCTCCTGAACAGGGCAAATTTTTCAGTATTCCCTGGAGTATACGCCAGCCCAGAATCATTCCATATCCTCAAGCAAAGTGACCCTGAGGAGGCCCCTTTTCACCAAGTTAATTTTTATAAACCTCCAGAGCGATTCAGAAAGTAGTGGGCTAATCTAATACCACCAAGCTTGCTAATAATAACTTGGCTAAGAACAGAGAAAGGTTGTGATGGCTGAATTGATATCCTCTTCAGGGTTCAAACTGATTTAGCAAATGTAGCAAGTCCAAAATTGACTGCTCGGCAAGACTTGAGATAAAACACTGCCACTTCTACTTCAAGAGTGCCACTACGTGATTGCTTCACTAATCGCTAATAAAAAGAGCTAGCTCACTGAACACTTACTATAACCAGCACTAGCCTACGTATTAGAACGTGTATTTAGTCCGAGGACAACCTTAAGAGCTGGAAGTATTATTACCCTTCAGATTTCACCAATGAAACATGGAAGCCTGGAGAGGTTAAGTAACTTGCCCCAAGTTATTCAGTGAATAATGGCCAAGCAGGGGCTCAGTACCAGTGTTTACGTTTCTGCACTTCACCGTCCTGCCTCCTTGTCTTTTCCCCTCCCTGAAAGTTTGAAAAAGGACCTTGTGACCAACCACAGGCCACGAGAGGAGGATAAGAAGCGCTGCGTCTGTGGGAGTCAGTGACGCTCTGCCTGCCTGCCACTCTGGCCCCCTGGCATGAGGGTTTTTCCTTGCCTGGCTGCTAGAGGCCCTCCTCACCATCTCAGGGCATCTCCACTAACCGCTCTATTCTACACATATTCTCTCTTGAAAGAAAATTTAAGATCACAGATATCTTCAGGGCTACACACTGCTAGCAAACTTCAAATGGAGCCTAGACTATAAACTGGAAAACTGGAAAGAACTGAGACCTAGCTGTAGAAAATGTTCATTGTATCAGACCCAGGGAGCTTCCAGAGCAATCGGGAGCCTGTAAGGCTCCTAAGAGGAGCTCATGAGAATTGCTCAGTTAGTTCATGAGATTTCAGGGTCGCCTGGTTTGTATGCTTATGCCCTAAATACTAAGGCAAAATTTTTTCCCATATAATTTGCTTTTTGGTACTGGGATTTTTAAAGTTGAAATGAAGAAAAGATAGAAAACACATTCGCAAATGATATTCAAAACCACTGAATGAGGGCATGTGATTCCTTTTTTCTTTTAATTCATCTAGCCTTAAAGACAGACATTTTTTGCCTCTATCTTGACAGTTGTTTAGGTGACTAAAATACCCAGTATATCTTAGTGAAAAGCTATATTTAAAATCACTTGATTTAGAAAACTCCAATCATGATAATTTCATGGGAATTCTTAGCACACAAATTAACAGTTTCAAATTACTTCACAAGAATTTGGGAGTTCAAATAATCTTAATTAGAAAATACCTGCATCAATGAATATTTATCAGGTGTTTTTTAACATCTGTCCCTGACACAGAATTATTTTGAACCTAGATTTATGAGTTATAGTTCCTGGGTCAGTAATAGCACTAATGATGTAGGATGAGACCTGTAGCCAGGAATGCGAATTCTAGGCCCTCCCAGTCCACCAGTTCCAGTCTAGTCTCTGGGCCTTGAGAATGTCGTTTAAGTTCTCTTAGCTGGTTTCCACGTGTCCACCTCAAAGTGTTGCTTCATGGATCCAATGGAATTATGCACATGAAAGCGGTTTTAGTAAGCTGCGAGGCACAATAATATAAAATAATAAAACTACAAACTACGTGTGGTGGCAGCGTGCAATGAGGAAAACGCAGACATCGTCTGGTGCCAAAAGGAATCAGCTTGGCTGATTCGGCAACTTGGCCAGCAGCTTATGATTCCCGGTATGTCTGCTGATGGTTCTCATTTTAGAAATGGAATGATAATAATGATGCCATAAGGATGATGTGGGGGTGAGAAATACACATATTGCCTCCAGCAGGACAGGCATACAGTAGGTGCCCAATAATCGGCGCCAGTTTCCCATCAAAGAATCCATCGAATTAAGCCAAGTACGCCGTGTGTTTCCACACTCACTCCCAACAGCTGGGCCATGTTCTGCCTAGAACAGTACATCCGTTAGCACAGTCGAAAATACACTTCTGCCATGGCCAGCGCGCTGGGTTCATCCCACCCACACTCCCGCGGACTAAGGCCCTGCTTGCTGTGTTCGCATTTCTTGCCCTGGACCGTTATTTCACAAACCTTAACTCAGGGAACTCAAATGCAAAAAATTAAATTAAATTAATACTACCCAATGTGGCAACTTCAAGCACAGGCTTTTTCCTACTTTTCGTTACTTAGGGACAGAGGAGGGGTCCCGGCACTAGGATAAGGAAAAAGCCAGAGAGAATCTGTTGTCACTGAGGCTGTTGAGTTCAACCCAAGTACGCGGCCCTTGCCCGCCTTCTCGCCCCCCAGCCCCGCGCCCCGCGCCCCGCGCCGCCCCCCGCGGCCGCCCCCGGCAGAGCGAGTTAGAGCGCAGCGGCGGAGGGGCGCATGCGGGGGTTAGTCTCAGCCCCGCCCGGCGAACGCGCCGCGGCAGGACGGGCGCGATGCTTACAGTGATCCCAGCCCAAAACGGAGTGGCCCTGAGCGGCAGCGAGGAGCTGGCGCTCGCCATGAGGAAGCCCAGCACGGTCACGGCGAGGCCCAGGGCCAGCTGCAGCAGCGCGAGCAGCAGCGGGAACCGGCAGCCGCAGCACGGCCGCGCCGCCTCCTCGCCGCGCTCCGCGGGGGCGCCTTTGCCCTGCGGCCCCATGGCGGCGGCCCCCTGCCCGTGCTGGCCGCGCGGCGGCGTGTCCTTGCCCGGGGCGGCGAGGGCGGCGGGGGCGGCGGGGGCGGCGCGGGGCGGGCTGAGCCGGCCCTGGTATTCGAATTACGGAGGCTGAACAAATATGGAAAACATTTGGAGCCGACTCGCCGCGCCGGCAGGGGCCGCGGAGGGGGAGTCCAGGGGGGTCGCCAACTGCCAACGCGCCGGGACGTCGCGCCGGCCGGGCGCACGGCGCGGCCCCGGGGCCTCCTAAGTGTGCACTTGCGTGCGTGTGTGCGCGGGTGTGTGTCTGGTTTCCTCACTCTAAGCCCCAGGATGTTTTTGGTTGTGTTTTCTGGGAGGTGCAAGGCAAGGTGGTAAATGTTTAAATCATTTGAGTTTAATTAACAGTCGAATCCGAAAGAGGCATTGCTGGGCTCCAAGCTTGGAAGCCGTTTCCATAAGTTAAATTGTTCTTCTTTTCCAGTAAAGGCATAAGCTCTTTTCTTTAATTGTGCAATCCAGCTAACAAATAAAGGCATTTTTCTCACTGAGGTATTTGCTTTTGTAAGAAGTGTTTATAGAGATGCTGGACTAATTGGGAACCCGGTCACATGTGTTTTTAAAAGCTGTTCAGTCGTTCACGGGGAGCCCCCAGCCAGTCTTCACAAATATCCACAAGTGTCTCGGGGATTATTACATACCTCGGACTTGGACCTGTGAACTCAGTCCACGCTTAGGATAATTTCTAAGCACCTAGAAGTGCTACAAAATGGGACTATTCAGATGGATTTGGCCCCTGCCCAAAGTCACAGAACAAATCAATAAAACCAATTATTCATATTCCCACATACCTCTACTCAGCAGCACTTAGAGCAAATTTCAGTGAAACCACTAAGAAATGGACCCATCACTTCGGAGTAATTTATATGTGCTTTGATATGGTCACTTTAACATTCAGGGAGCTGCATTAAAAAATAGAATGATGCTGCCGAGATGCTAGGACAGAGAAAGCCTACTCCTATATGGGTCACTCGCAGCCAATTTAAACAAAGTCCAACTCCCTTACTTGTTTCCTTAGAATTAGAAACTAATTGTCACCTCTGCTCCTTGTAAACTGCTAAGTCCCCAAAAAGTTACCTTTGAAGGTATTGAACATATTCTTACTTATTTTATGAACTTAAAGGTTTTCCTTAGATAGCCTCTGGATCAGTGAGACAAATACGGCCCTCGGAAGAAAGGCGGTAGCTCCGAGAGCAGAATTCGCACGGCACCTCCCAGCGTTCTGGGGTGCCACTAGAAGGGGTGGAAGCGACCGCTCTCCCGCAGGAGAGGGGCAGGGGCTGGGGACGGGTCACTGTCAGCTCTGGGGCCTTCACCGCATTAGGATTCCTAATGAGAACATGTAAAAGCTGGTGTTACACCAACGTCCTCACCTGGCTGGGGCCTGACTGAGAGGAGCGCGAATGACAGAACGGTACTGGTTTTTCTATGTAAACACAGTAAACATTTTTAGGAAGCTAATTAACCACATGGCATAAATTATCTTGTTATGAAGACTAGAGCTACCGATTATTGTCTATTATGTAACTACCACAAGTAGGTGCTTTAGTACTTGACTGTTACAACAGTCCTTACAACCACCTTATTATAGTTTCTACTTTTAAAGATGTAAAATACTGAGTATCAGAATTATTAAGTAACCAGATTATTAAGCCGCTCACCTGCTTAGGGATAGACATGAGGGGAACCAAATGTGAACTGTGGATTTACCTGTATTAGTAATTACTTCCTATAGGCAGGCAAGTGGGTAGGCTGTTTAAATTCTTTTTATTTTAAACAATTTACCGATCATAGGTAGTATTTTATCTCACAGAATTAGCTATCAGCCTTGAACTTTGGTACTTTACAAAAATATCTCGATTCACCATTTATAATGGTCAATGGAGACCGTTACTTCTATCACTGATTTGTAACTAAATACAGGTTCTATTTGCTGACTGTACTGCTGCGCCATCACTTAGCTAAGAATAAAATATTCCTAGCCTTTGCCTCAAAATCTTAAATTAGATGAAGTTATGATAGTTAAAATAACAGGATATTCCCGTGGGCTTGTCTTCTAAGTTTCAGATCTAGTGTGGCTTACAGCTGTAAAACAGTTACACATAAATTCTTATGATAGAGGCTTACTTTTAATTGCCTAGCAGAGACAAGTTGCAAATGAATCCAGTAGCAGTGAACAACGTGCCAGATAAATTGTAATCCCACTAGTCTGATTACAGATGCCGACTTCGATTTTCAGCTTCCAGTGAAGAAGGCCGTCGTACAGGAAGCCTTAACCTGCTTAAATTCCTAACTGCATGGCTGAAGCTGAGTTTGGAGGGGGCCTGGTTTTGACAATCCCACCAGATGATAGTGAGAAGGACTGTCTTTTCACTTAATTGATATGGGGAAGTAGAAACAAAGAAGAGGACGAGAAACGTCAGAAGGTTAGTGATAGAGAGTGATCAGGGCTAAAATGGGGGCAACGGGCTGTTAAGGCTACAAGGGAAGCCCCTCCTTTATGCCCTTTTCACTGAGAGAAATCACCATTTCCACCTCATTACATAGTTTAACAGAAATGAACAGGGTTTTCTTAGTATTCATAAATTATAATGTCTGTTTCATAGGTTAAGCAATAACCTCTTCAGATATTTACGTAAGGGGGAAGAAAGGCAAAATAGAAACAAAGTATTTTCAGATACTCTATTGGCTGCTCCCATAACTCAAAACTGACAGAGATTATAAATTAGAAATTGCAAGAGAATAGTTAATATATGGTTCAAGATTACTTTGATCCTCTGGGGAAAGTAAGAAAATTAAGCTTAGTATCTCTAATCTTTGCCATATCTCAAATTCAACATTATTTGGAACTATTTATACTTCAGAAGTCCAGAACTGGGAAGATGAAAAATCTTTTAAAAATGAGTTTAATTAACAAAATGTTCTTAGGAAATCCAACTAGAAATAATCTCTCAACCAATTATCTTAGATTCACCAAGAACAAAAAAGATTTCATAGAAAAATTATTACAGTTCCAAGGTCTGTATCATGTGTCTTTAATATGTAATTAAATATATCAGAAATGTTTGATTAGATTTGATTTAAATAAGTATCAAATATTCTACAGAGAACAACTGAAAACTTGTGATATGCAGCACCTTCGTTCATGTGTCTCACTGGCCTCCATACATAAAATGACTATGGATATTGCCAATATATGTGTATGTTTGTAAAGAAATAGAAATAAATAAACTAGGAAAAAATGGGGACTTTATTTGTTGTACAATTTCTTTATTTCATTAATTCTAAATGTCTTTTGTCCAATTCCTTTTTTCAAAAGAATTGACCCATTCATGATTTTTGCACGGCAGTTTATATTTTCAAGTTAAATATCATACGGGCAGTGTACTCTTTATGCTGAACAGAGGGCTGGTAACTTTCTCATTTTATAGAATCTATAGAGGTGATAAGTACCAACAGTTCCTAATACTTTCCACCTCTTTATAGGATGTTATTGAAGAGTCCTGATAAAGAGTCTGGGCATAAGCTACTTCATTTTTTTAATGACTTCGTTTTGTGAGAAACAGGCCACGCCCGCTCTGTGCACGGCCCACTCTGCGCAGGGCCCAGGTCTGCGCATGGCCCGCTTTGCGCACAGCCCGCTCTGCACATGGCCCGCTCTAGTATAAAAGAAGAATAAACTTGTACTTTGGGGTCTCCACCTGCGCGTGCGAGACCCCAGCATGCTGGCTACCCAATAAACGCTCTTGCTTTTGCATCCACATGTCTCCTGGTTATTTGGGGGTCAATTACACGGACCCAACATTTGGGGGCTCGTCCGGGATCGCGCTCCCATAACCGGCGACCATTTGGAGCGTGCGGGTAAGTGTGAGTGTGACTGCAGTGTTTGATTGCCTGTTTATGTGTCTTGTATTTGTGCCGTTTGTCTACGGAAACCCGATCTGGCAGTCCGGGGACTAGGTGGACTCACTATTTTTTCCCGCACCTTGGTGAGCACGGAGACGTCCCTCACTCACTTCTGGTTTTTTTTTGGACTTTATTTTTCAATCTGGTGGGAGAAGGGAGGTCGCTCCCTGACGGAGCCCTTCTACAGGAGAGGCTGTCCTCCCACACCTGGTTTCTGTTTCTTTTTGGAGAGCGTGAGGGAGCCCTTTTACGGGAGAGGCTGTCCCTCTTCGTCTGGTTTCTTTTTGGAAAGAGGCACCCTTACGTTGTGTTCTCTGTGTACTCATATTTGTCTGTCTTGTCTTCTCGTTTCTCCTTGGCATGGGCCAGTCGCACTCTACTCCCCTGTCTATCTTCATATCTCACTTCAGTAACTTTCAAATCCAGGCTAAAAATCTTGGTTTTGCTGTCAAAAAGGGTAAACTTTCTATCTTTTGCAGGAACGAATGGCCTAAGTTCGGGGTCAGGTGGCCTGAGGAGGGTGCGTTTGACCTTTCCACCATTTTCAGGGTCAAGGACTTGTATATGGGTGTCCTGGGCACCCCGACCAGGTTCCTTACATCACCACTTGGCAGACTCTAGTGGAAAGTCCACCTGAATGGCTGGCTCCCCTTCTTCCACCTTTAAAGGCGACCCTCATGGCCACTGCCTCCTCTAAAGCTCCACGCTCCTCTAAGGCACCCTGCAAGTCAAATCCCAATCCCTCGGTTCCTTCAGCCCCACCTCTTTATCCTGTCCCCCCACCCCGTTGGACCCCCTTTCGGAAGATCCATCCTGTCCCCATCCGCCGTCATATGAATCCGCTCCTCCTCCCAATCCTCCTGAACCTTCACCTGTGGAAGAGGAACCTGACCCGGACGACCCACCCACGAGTCCTCCCCATACTCGCTCTTGAGACCGACAAGCTCCCAAGAACACCCCAGGCATAGTGGCCCTACTTTGTGGGCAGCGGGCCCACCAGGCCCCAATGGCCAACAGTTCTTAGTTCATTGGCCTTTCTCCACCAGTGACTTGTATAATTGGAAAATGCAGAACCCCCGCTTCTCTGAGAAACCCAGTAAACTTATAA